GAAGAAACACCCCCCTCATGCTTTCGTAAGGCAAGGCAAGTTTATTTGTATAGCACAATTCATGCACAAGGCAAAGTGCTGAACGAAATCAGATAGAAACCATCACACAAGGGAATAATCACAGTACATTATAAAGAGTAAAGATGAAATACCTCCGTTGGATTCACAGCTAAACAGAACTGAATCCTGTCCCACATTTTCAGGAAGACTGTTCCAAATTTTAGCTGCATGCATCTGAAATGCTGCCTCCCCAAGTTTAGTCCTGACTCTTGGCACCAGGAGGAGGCCAGTCCCTGTGCTCATGTCATCTCAATGTCATTACCATCAATGCTGCAAGTTACTGTAATAATGATTATTTGAGAATGATTTCAGGGGCAACTAAAAATAGTCTTGTATTTGGCCCGCGGGCCTGAGTTTGACATGCCTGCACTATATGGTGGTGTTTTACCCCAGGTCCTGTCTCCACATGTATCCATATAGGACATCTTTAAAGAAGCTATACCCAATTTTTTTTCTAAGTAGTTCAAAAAAATGCTTTTTACTACGTACAAGTTGTATCATAATATATAATTTCATTGAAAACTTGAGGTCATTGATTTAGCTGTGTATGAAATTCAAGCAGTGAAAAGTGCTGAGTGGAGTTTTAGCGGGCCGTTTGTTCTCCTTCACTCACAGAACGAGCAGCGAACAGCCTGCGTCCTCTAGCCTCTACAGCGCTGCTTAACACCAGGGCTTCGACTTCAAAATTCGAATATAATTCTAAAATAAAATATATATATATTCGAACAAATATTAGACAGCCCTTATAATTGGAAATGTATTTAATGACTGCAAAAATAAAATAGTGCTAGGCAGGTAACAGCTAAGCTAGCTAGCTGTTTCATGGTAACTTCCGGGTTTTTTGCGATCGCTTTTTGTCACTTTAAAACAGTATTTTTGTCATGAAAATGTTGACAGCAAATTCTGAAATCGTCCGTGCATGTGTGTTAAGGATGTATATGTATACTGTATTGTCTGATTAACGTTTAATGGTGTTGATTGATTGAAAAGGGAAGAAGTAGATCCGCAGCACTCCAACTAAATGGGGCCTTCCTCAGAGCATAAACAGAAATGGTAAAACATGCCTGAAGGACAATTAATAGTTGTCAGGACAGCCATCCATGAAGCAGACAAGAAGAAACATGCAAAAGACACACTGCCATTACATTTACTGTACATTATATATACACACCAAAGACCATGACGATAATGGCATGAAGAAGAGCATCACCCAATTAACTGTACGAGAAAACCAACATCAAGACCTGAGTGACTATACGTAGATCCGTAAGATATTTTAAAGACATGATTGCACAAAGGGTCTGGGCAAAAATGATCCACCATAGCGCTCCAGAGAGAATGACGAAATACACAGTACACACAGACAACACAATTAGAAAACAATACACCATGCTTGGCAATAAGAGAATTAAGCATTCTATCTCCAAAAGTCAATAAGATTGAACTAGGGCTGTTATCATGGTTTCTTGATCAACAATTTTTTTATTCGCCAAGTCAAAATTTTATTTCAATTGCAAAAAATAAAAAAAAGAACTGGAAATCTCCACACATAAAAAGATATGAAGTAATAATCTTGCATACATCTTTCCCACGTCCCTTTTTAGTCGACAATAGGATGTACCGGGCTTGTTCGGAGTACAAAAACTACTATGAGGGTAAATAATGTTCCTCTGCTGCCACCAGAGTGCAAACATTTGCAATTATGTTTTCAGATTTGATAATGACTGGCTGCCAACACAGTGACACTTTTCTTTGTGTGACGTCAGAGTGTTGTGATGACATCATATTATTACAGGACCGAGACAGTTATGTATGGCAGAAGTTCCTGATGTAAGCATGGATCAAGATGGATCAAGATATTTATACATAAATATGTTGCTAATTTTATTCTTGAAAGATATAAAAAGCATTTTGGATGTATTTTTGTAATTAATGGTTATAGCTCGGTTTTCGGCTTAATTTTTTCTTTTAAGCATTTTTCCTTTTGAGATGAGTGAGACTCGTTCTTGTACTTAACATCTGCAGCTTTGTCCTTGTAACACAATATTTCAGTATAACAACTGTACGTTATAACATTTCAATCAGTTTAAAAACTGAATTATTTCAAAATAATATTTGATGATTTGTTACATCCTTTAGTTGTAGCAAAGAAAGCACTTGTGGCATGGGCAGAATAGAAAATCAAACCACTAAAACAAATCGTGCTTAAGCATTTTTTGTAAACATAAAAGAATACCTGCATGTTATAATTTATGCACCTTTTTTAGCACCATCATTTGAGTTTAAAATAAAACAACATTTAGTTTTAAGCCCCCAATTTTCCTATGTTTTTTCACCCATTAAAAATCCTGTAACAGTGAGTCTCTCTCTCTCACACACACATACACATACACTCGCAGGGAGCAGAACGGCCACAGAGAGGCGCTGTTGCCCACCACTTCACACCACCCCTGCTTACGGCCTGCAGCATACACTCTATATCCAACACTCAAAGACCTCAAGACTGTATTCTTAAAAGCTGTTAAAAAAAAAAAACATATCAGTCTCATAATGAAAAAATTTAAACTGAGGAGAAAAAAATTCCAAGTTGAGATTATTTTGAAAATACATTTATATATAAGTGCAAATTGTTAATCATGTTCAGAAGAAAAATAATCACTGATCGTATTAAAGTTTTATGTTTTACATTTCAGGATATTTTTGAATGAGTCTTGGCCATATGTTTGGAGGATTTTAACCAGCAAGAATATTTTTCAAAGCATTCAAATAATGTCAGTATGTGAAATATGCCTATTGTGGCCAATTCATTTTGATTTGTGAAAAGATGCATTGAACATTATCTGTAAAACATATTTCAGCCTTAAAATATAGAGCTGTCAGTCACTCTTTGACTCTGGTCTGAGAGTAAGGGCGTTTACAATTTTTTGCTAAAAAAAAAACAAAAAAACATCAGGAAAAGTGACCAAGAGGCCAAAAATGCATGCAGCTACTGCTAGAACCACCACCGGAGAACTATTTTACTATTTTACTATGTATTTTATTACATTGTTCAATTATTTAGTTTTAATTATTATAAAATTAGATATTACAGCTTTAAGTCAGTAAATAATAAGTGTTTTGGTACTTGAACATGTTGGGGATAGCATTCTTGTTCTTGCGTCAACAAACTGATCTGAATTTGTAGGAATGTTGTTCCGTTGTCCCTACTACTTATGCAAGAAGCGCTGAAGTTTGTGAATAATTCAAATACAGTAATTTCAGTTATTGTATTTTGCAACCAGTCTCTCACACAGACCTCCTCTCTCTGGTGCCTGTCTGAAACAGTGCTCACAAAGACCACATTGGATACACATAGATCCAGATCCTCAGGGAACACGAGCAGCTCTTACTGTCTATAAAGCCCCATTATCTGACATTTGGACATATTCTTCAATAAGATAAAAGATAGTGCTGTACCTATTAAGATTTCTTTAGCACTGGAAATTCTGTTGTACTGACTATTGTTTCATACCCATCATCACTAGTGCCCCAAGAACAATTCTGATGGTGACTGAAAAAATGTATCTGAAATCCAATCACAATTATCACAATACTGTCATGCTTTGTACAGTCTTTTTGAAGTCTTTAGAGGCCATCGTCATTCCCTATATACAGATACAAGGTTTCTCATTCTAAAGCAGGAGGTGCCAGAGTGACGGCTCAGGAGAATGCTGAAGCACCGTGAATGTGGAAAGCTCACGGACAGCAGCAAAACATGTGAATTAGACATGGTGGTCTTTACAGATGGTTACACACTGACAACCTGTGTTTTTTGGACTGTGTCGTCCCTGTTAAATACTGTGTTGACCCGGGACAGCAGTGGGAAAGGTTGGCATGTTGTTTGGACCCGTGTTGGCTTTTCAATGCTGGGAAGATAGGAATGTGACAAAATAAGAATCACAATAAAGGTCTAAACAGACTTCAAACTTTCAAAATAGGGCTTCTAATGTCGCAGACTGGTTTGGTTCCTCCTCCAACCACACTATGAGGAACGTCCCCCCTCTCCATCTGTCTCGTTGCCCTGTTTTCAAACTTGTTACCTCACGACATAATGCTCAAACTATGACGCCTTGCCTCTAAATGTTTTTTCATAATTTCTGTAAAATTATGTTTTTTACATCTGTGTACTTCATCTGACCGTGCCATGTTAGATTTAGATTTACATATAGCACGATGTAATTTCCCACTCCTACCACTAGAGTGCAGCTCATTCTGATCATCTCAAGAGGTTTTAACTCTGTTCTGCATGGTGGCTGAGTGGATAGCGCTCTCGCTTCTCAGCAAGAAGGTTCTGTGTTCGAATCCCGGTCGGAACAGGGCCTTTCTGAGTGGAGTTTGCATATTCTCCCGGTGTCTGCGTAGGTTTCCTTTCAGATACTCCAGTTTCCCCTACCACTAAATACATGCACAATAGATCTAGCATGCACCTCCTGTACTGGCGACCCTGCTCCCATCTCTGTGAGAGGACAAATGCCCCAAAAAAAAAAACTATTTTAAACCGTTTTGTGACTCTGGTCTGTGAAAGGCGGTATATAAATAAATATTACTTACTTACTTACTTCTCTTTCAAACAAACAACTAAGTTTATCTGCTGAAACAAGTACAAAAGCTGTTATAAAGATCTTAAGTTTTAGTCAACTAGTCCAAAACAAATTCACATGTGTTTTGTAATCAATAGCCTATTCTCGCTACAACAATTGACAGTAAAAAGGTTAAAACAGGTGTTTGTGAAAGCTCTCACAGAAGAATAAACAAGTCTTTTCTCTTTGTGTTCATTGTGTTGGAGGCGGAAAACACTACTGCGATTGTCTCATCCCCCAAACACGCCAGAGGTCACGGCGAGACCACGTTCGCGCCTGTCTAAACCGCACAAACAAAAGAATACACTTCTTACAAACACACTACATTGGGCATAATTGTTGTGTTTCGGGATTCGGGCCCTCAGCCAGGCGGGACGAGGCCGGGTCGCTGTGCAGCAGATGGGACAGTGTCTGGAGGTGAGAGGGGTCCCCTGGTACAGAACTGTGGGCACTGCTCGGAGCGGCGTGAGGAGAGGGGAGTGAGGAAACAGCTTGAGTGGTCAGGAGAAGCTTCATGATGGGGGCGACTCTGCTCCGTTCCGTAGTGAGGATCGCCGCAGCATCAGCAGACAACCAGGATTTAGAGATGACAGGAAGAGAGCGGTGGTTTAAGTGAAGTGAATAGAAGTGAATAGAAGGCGTGTACATCCAGAGTCTCACCTCGTGTGCAGAGGCCAAAGCAAGTAAATGGTGTAAAAAAGGGAGAATGGCACCACTATGTTGAGAAATTAAGACAGGCAGCGGCGATTGCACCTGTAGCACGGTTAATTTTCCAGTCAGTCCAGGAGAGATATTTACATGATTTGTATCAGTGTGCAAAAGATATAGATACTACTCACATTGTGGGTCAGAACAAATATTTACAGTTCTTCAGATAATAATGTTTAGCCGTATTACAGTACAAAATATGTAGGTCAGATTCTGCAACTGCTATTGGGCTCCCAAGTGTCATTTATTTACAGATGTCATCTGCTCTCACTGATGTCTGCTGTCGTTGTGTCCTTGGGCAAGACACTTAACCCCACTTTGCCTGAAGCCCTCGCTGAAACACCAAAGCCGTATCTGCGTTGAAGGAGCAGCCATCTTCCTGTGGACCCACCACCTGCAGGAGGATCAGCGAGGGACTGGTGCTGTGAGCATTGGGAGCAGCTCTGATTGCCACCCCCAGACCCAGAAATGGATAATAAAGGGATGAAAATTAAATAAAAGTGTATGGTTATACAGCACTTGTTTAGACAGACATTGTTCGACGTGACATGTACATAACACCTTTTTAAATAACACCTTTTAAATGTTACAATCATTTATCATAAAGTGAAGGTCAAGCCACATTTTAGATCAATGTACAAATTGTGATCATTCAGTACTAAAGGGTCTTTAACAGTGTTGGACTGAACAGTGTAGCAATTTGAGTAACATAGTAGTGTAACACGCTGTTATGAAAACTTGTATAAATATTTTACTATTACTACATAAGTACTTTGTTACATGGAGATGTCACACTATTTTTTATATCAGCCAATGGAGTGCAATCGATTGTGCGATTTTCCACTGCAGCATCTCATCCTCAGACCTTTTAAAACACACAGCATCTTTTTTAGCAACTATTAAACTAGTCGCTAAAGAGCATGTGAGGGCCGCCACTGCCTCCGACAACACAACACTGTTTGGTGTAAGAACCCAGGCTTGAATGACGCTGTAAGGTCAAACCTCAGAGATTGAAATAAAGAGACTTGTAGCGGCTTAAATAAAGACTCCTGTAGAGGCATACATTGTAGAAGAGATGCTCCCATTTCTACTGCAGTGTCACCTTCTTTCAGAAACATTATGCGTTAGTTTACATTTTACAGGAAAAAACATTTGTAAACTATCTAAAGTGCTACAGACAGAACTGGCCTGGGTACTTTAGTACATTACTTTTATTTTAATGTTTTACCATTTCAGCCAGTTTGGAAATTGATGTTAATAGTTATTATTATCATCAATAGTTAAAGAAGCTATACCCAATTCATTTTTCTAATGAGTTCATAAAAATCCTTATTACTACATACAAGTTGTAGTAAAATCCGTAATTTAATTGAAAACTTGAGCTCATTGATTCAGCTTGTGTATGAATTCAGGCCGTAAAAAGTGCAATCACAGAACGAGGAGTGGCGCTGTTACGAACAGGCTGCCTCCTCTAGAGTCTACAGCGCAGGTCAACACGACAGCATGGCAGCTGAAAGTGGCTAAAACTCCTCCTTCTGTAACTGCAAACACAGCAACACAACCCAAACAACGCAACAGGGAGGAAGAGAAGAGGGAACTAAAGCGAATATACGTAGCGTTTGCTTGCATCGTATCCTCTGGAGAGACCTGCGGGAGCGGGACCGCCTCGGACTACATTTGGACGCGAAACTAGCGGTAATCTTTCAGTTATATTTTGTTAGCAGTGCGTTGCTTTTGTACCATTTCATCAATGATTGTTGTGCAGCTTACAAGAAGTTGCACTAATGCACTTGTTTTCATCAGTGTGTTTGTATGAACTGACTTCTAGTAAGATTAGAATCATTATAAATACATTAATAAAACAGCTAAACATCATTGGTCCATAAGAAAATGGATTGACCAACATTCATCATTTTCATACTGTAAATGTCCCGCACCATCTCCGGTCCTCAGGCCACCACTCCCTCACCTCAAACACAGTGTGGTGTGTGTCCTCTGAGGTTAAAGTTGGCAGTTTGAAGCCCTCTCCTGACTACTACATCTTTGGTGGAGCGGTCATATCGACTGACCCAGGTGAAAACCAGTTCCATTGATGAATGCGGCTGTGTGTGTCAATGGGCAGGACATTTAACTGACCAGCCTCCTGTGTCTGTGCCCAGAGCTGTGTGAATGTGTGAATGGTTCTTTAATGTTTTTGATCTTTTACCATTTCAATTTAGAGAGACTAAACAAACACCAATAGTTTGTTTGTATGGCACCCTCGGCCCCGGCTACGGCACTTTGTCAGTGACAATCATTCCTTATAATCCCCTGGAACCTAGGTACTGATGGTGGCATTAGGCCTAGGTACCTATGATGGCATATGACCTAGGTACCTATGATGGCATATGACCTAGGTACCTATGGTGGCATATGATCTAGGTACCTATGATGGCATATGACCTAGGTACCTATGATGGCATATGACCTAGGTACCTATGATGGCATATGACCTAGGTACCTATGGTGGCATATGACCTATGTACCTATGATGGCATATGACCTATGTACCTATGGTGGCATATGACCTAGGTACCTATGATGGCATATGACCTAGGTACCTATGGTGGCATATGACCTAGGTACTGATGGTGGCATTAGGCCTAGGTACCCATGGTGGCATACGGGTGAAGCATGTGCTCAAAGGTCAAGGAGGAGGCGGTGGTTGTGAGGCGTCAGTAGATGAAATTTACGTCAGAACGAACTCCTTGCGAGTCCTAAAAAGGGTCAGTTGTTGGAATCTTCCATTTTTAAACAGCTGATTAATTGGCATGGGTTGGCAGTGCTGTGTGATTGGCTGAGGGTGAAAGGGCCCGGCTGGATGGGCTGCAGCAGGTAGCCTAACAGACTGAATGTCTGTGGGCTGCATGTTACAACACTGTTCCTCATCGGTCACAGAACTCTAATATCAGAAACTTCTGGCACCATAATGAAACTGTAACTGGAATTAAGTTCTTGTGATTTTAACCGGTGATTTTCAAGTTCTATCAAATTCTACTCCTCCCTATAGTGGTGGCATGGTAATGTTTATTCTTGTTTCACCATATATCTTAATTAATTATGACATGGACATTGCCACAATAAATGTATTGTACAGACGGGACTTGACAACAAACTAATATTTATCTGTTGTCCCTGGGCAGAGGCAAAGTTATAGCAAAAAGTTAGTATATAGAATAGCAAAGATAGCATTTAAAAAAAGTCAAATAAAGCACCCTAATCCAAAAAGAGACAGAATATATTCAGTATTTACAACACACAAGTATTTACTATCTGCTTACCGACTGCACACTTTATTTTCTTTGAGCCATATCTAGTCATGTCGAGGCTGCTGCTTTGACAGAGCAGTTCTTTAATTTTCTAATGTAGATATTTTAAGATGCGATAAAATAAACTTTATTGATCTCACAATGGGGAAAATTACGTCACATTTAGAACATATAGAATTAATCAGATTGTGCAAAAAGACAGAAATGTGCAACATGTAAAAATATAGTAAAATATATAGTCTGTGCAGAAAATTATGTGGCAAAAGTGGCAATAGCAGTGCTGGTTCTTCAGTCCTAGTGCAGGTCATTAGTGACTTATTGTACAGTCTGACAGCGGTGGGGATAAAGGCCCTGCAGCAGTGCTCCTTCTTGCACTGAGGGTGTCTGAGTGAGAGAGCTCCTCAACAGTCCTGTGCAGTGGGTGGAAGAGGTTGACCACGATGGAGGTGACTTTGGCTAGCACCCTCCTGTCCCTCCCCTCCTCTTGAGTCCAGGAGCAGCCCAGATTCCATAATTTCAATGGCCAAAATTAATGCATCATGTGTATGTAGGTGACAGTAGGTGACAGGGGCGACAGTAGCTCAGTTGGTAGAGCATTGGCCTTCAGGCCTGAAGGTTGTGGGTTCAATTGCCACCTCTACACCTTCTCCACCGACTCCCACTGATGACTGCTGTCGTTGAGTCCTTGGGCAAGACACTTAACCCCACTTTGCCCAAAGCCCCAACTGAAAGATCAAGGCTATGCTCACTCTCAGAGAGCAGCTGTCCTCCTGTGGACTCACCACCTGCAGAGGATCAGTGAGGGGCTGGTGCTATGAGACTTGGGTGGCATCTCTGATTGCCACCCCCCTGACCCAGAAATGGATTAAAGGGTAAAAAATGGATGGATGGATGGATGGATGTAGGTGCTAAGGCAGAAAAGTCCCGTATTTTAGGCGACACAAATACAACTGCTTTGATAAAAAAGTGCCCATTAAGTTTTCACCAGGCCCTGCTCTGCCAAACATCTGAGATTTGACAGAATCAGACTTGACAAGCAGGTAAGGACACTATGGATGTCAGCAGTGTTGTGCGTGAACGAGTTCAAAAGAACGCGTTCATTGAACACGCTCATTTTTTTGTGAACGTTGAACTGAACGTAACAATTTTTTTTTAAAAGAACTTGAACGTGAATTAGTTCATTTTATGTGTCATGAACGGCAGACATCACTATGAACGTTAGAATCTGTTTTCTCTTTTGAAACGCAACGAGAGAAAGTTCCTCCCTCCTGTATTCTCGCACTTTTTCCGCCGAAACCTAAAAATTCCTACGGTTTCCACCGTCTGTGAACGCACCCCGACTCTGTGTTGCGGTGCGGCGCTGTGAGCTGGTGCTTTTCTCATGTGCCCGAGTCGTGATGAAAACACAGGGTGAGTTAGCGACAACGTTTACACCGTTTACATTTGACATAAAGTATAGACACACGCACTGCAGCGCATTACTGTTTTTTAGTTTATGAGCAGAGATGGGACAACTCCGTTTTGCTCCCATTGAAAACCATATAAATCTTGTCTGTTTTGTAGTCAAAAGGCTCTCCTCCTGTGGGTGTGATATATACAGGAGATATATATATTATATATATATATATATAT